GTGTGTGTGTGTGTGTGTGTGTGTGTGTGTGTGTGTGTGTGTCCGTGTGTGCACGCACGCACATGTGCGTATTTCAGGGGAATTTGTGAATAATATCTCTGTCTCTGTTTTTTGTAACTTGTTCCCGCATTTGTATGGTTGTGCGAATGTGCTTGTGTGTACCCACTTGTCTGGATGATAGATTGTGGTATTCATAAAAAGTGTGAAAATAGATGCTTGCTGATTATGCATAAATATAATACAACGTTCGGCTGATTTGCTAACTAGTTCTATACCCTCTCCCAATCTCATTTCGTTGGAAATCGATAGAAGATAATTATAGTTTCGGCAGTTTTTTCCCCAGTAACCGGGCCAATACTCTGGTTGGCTGGTACCTATGCTAGGTTGGTACTCATTATTCTATTGCTAGGGTAAAGCCTAAGCCGAATGTGTATTCAACGGGGTTTCTCAAATTGAGAATACGTCCCATAGACAGATTATCTTTAAAGCGACATCTGACGTTGGATGTGAAGTTTGCAAGTCGTGATACGGTATATTATCATCTTCAGTATTTCAGGGAAGTGGATTACAGAAGATTGCTAGAAACCAGAAAGGATCCGTTTGCTCGAGTCGCATCTGGTTGAAAAAGTTTAACGTTATCTTCAAAACATGTGCAACTAAAAACGGTTGGTTGGACTTGGTGTTACATATGAAATTTGCGAGAAAATGGCCGTCAAAGTTTGGTGACTTCCAAGCCGAATACTTGCACTCGCTCTACAAAATTGTATATTTCTTGCCTTAACAACATTTTTCAGGAAAACCATCCTTGGGGAAAATATGTTCTTTAATGAATGGAAAAGGTTTCTGTGCAAAGATAATCTTTGATACAAGTCTCCCAGCAGTCGGGAAAATACTGATTTCACCGTTCCCTAAAATTTGACGAGCGCAAGAGTCCACCGAGACGACACACAATTTAATTCAGTTAGAAGGCAGGCTGCCTTAGTCCTGTCTGTAAGGATAATGCAGACTGAATGGAACATAATATCGCAGCAGAAAATCCAGAATTGTTTTCAAGAAAAACGCCCCC